AGAGTCGGACATGACTTAACAACTGAACAACAACAACAAATGGATAATTGATAGACTCACAGGAAAGCATAGATTTCTGCAGACTGTCACATTATGCAAAAGTGCTCCTTTCTAATGCCTTGCACAGCCCTATACTATAATTTGAAACTTCCAGGATTTAAAACTCAGATTCCTTATATACAATGTGCTATTCCACTAAGCTGTAGATCCCTAACATGTTATAGATTCTGACCATCTGCTTAACTTTTATTATTAGAAGGAAAGGGCTAAACTGAATGCAGTGGGTTTAGGTTACTTAAAAAATGTGTAAGGTAAAGCAAGATGAGATAGGACCTTAAATGAATGGGTGCTGAATTAATCTGTATTGAATATAGAAATGACCAATATAAAAGAATTAGGTTGATGGAGTTTGGTCATACAGAGAGAATAAGAATCAAATTGCAAAACAAATACATGAAGCAAGAGTGAATGGGTTGAGAGGAAGGGGAAGACTGAGAAAGGAATGTTTAAATGGAATTCATGACATCCTCAAAAAAAAAAAGTGAGAAGTTTGAAGAACTAAATGCAAAGTATGAAGCAGTATATGGGTGTGGCTTGCAAGAATAGAAATGGAGAGGTATAGTGAATTATGCAGATATAAACTAGATTTAGCTATACTTTTTCTGACCTCATACCTTCAACTTCTTCATCTTACTATTTCTTTCTCTCTTCGCTTTGCTTAATGGTCCTTCCTTTATAATAGTGTGATGGGCATGTGTGTATTGCAGTACTGAGCAGTGAGTTGGACTCAGTGGCCTAAATGGATTCCCAATTCTGTGATCTAAATCTGATCCACTTTCCAAGTAAGGAAAATACCATGATATAAAGAGGAGAGGTTATAATTTTGTGACAGATAATTCTACATTCAAACTAGAGAAAGTTCTCAAGGTTCTCCTTTTTTCGATTTCCATCAACGCTTCTAGGAGATTGTTGTGTTTTCATGGCATTTTGTAACTTGGTGTCTTCAACGGCAGAGGCAGCAGCATTCTGGACTTTTAGGAATGTCTGTGAGAGCCATCTGTGATGCCTATAGTCAGGCACCAACTCCTCAGGCTAATATATGGGACTTCAACAACTCAAGTTCCCCCAACATTTTTTTTTTTTTTGAGGGGAGGTGCTGGCTAGGATGGCAGTACACCCCTCCATGGTAAAGATTGTGCTTGTTAGCAGTTTATAGGAGGTAGCCACCTGCTGAAGATGGGCAATCAAGAAATGGCAGGTGGAGCTTTAAAAATAACTTAAAAATACAGCTTTAACATGGGTTTTAAAAAGTAATTAGCATCAACTACATAATGGAATTACCATACAGGCAATTATTATGCAGGCAGTAGGGACAGATCCATGTTTCTCTTTTAGACTCAGAGGGGAACATGGGGCTCTACCTCCTGCCTGCATGTACTGTACATTAATTCCACCTTTCCTGTGTGAGGCCTGTTAGACATGCTGGAATGACAACTCCCAGAATTCTTGGGCTGGAGAAATGTGATTCAAATGATCACTCCCATTCTGTCCTCCTACTTTATTGGCTATTGGCAGCAGATTCAGTTCTGATGCAGCCGCATTAAACTTTTCAGATCTGTAACCTTT